TAAAACAACCAGAGCACAAGCTAAAACAACCAAAACAAGAGTTAAAATGAACAGAACACGAGCTAAAACAACCGGAACAAGCGATACAACGGCCAGGACACAAGCTAAAATGAGTAACTGTTTATTGTTGTCATCTTTCTTTGTTGAAATCAGGTCTCTCTTGTAAATGAGTCCTCGAGGCTCAATGGGATTTACCGTCTAAATAAAAGTTGAATGAGTAAAACAAGCCAAAACGAGCAGAAAACGTGCTAAAACACACAGAACAGGAGCTGAACTTTGGTGTGGTAGTAGCTGAGAGTCATCCCTACACAAACTCTAGGCAATGTCAAAACTTTGATTAAAAAATGTTGGCCTGTAGTATAAAGTCAACAACTATTTCCAAAAGAGGGAGGAGCCTAGAGTGACCTATAAGAGTGGAGGAAGGAGTACGCAGGTCGGCTACATTCTGTGTAGAAGAGGAAACCTGAGGGAGATTGGAGACTGTAAGGTTGTGGCAGGGGAGAGCGTGGCCAGACAGCATCAGATGGTTGTGTGTAGAATGACTATTGTTGTGAAGAAGAGAAGAAGAGTAAAATCAGAGAAGAAGACCAAATGGTGGAAGATGAAGAAGGAAGAATGTTGTGGGAAATTCAGAGAGGAGCTGTTAAAGGCTCTGGGTGGTAAGAAAGAGCTTCCAGATGACTGGACTACTACAGCAACAGTAATTAGAGAGACAGGTAGGAAGGTACTTGGTGTGTCATCTGGACAGAGAATGGATGATAAGGAAACCTGGTGGTGGAATAGTGAAGTGCAGGAAGATGTTCAAAGAAAGAGGTTAGTCAAGAAGAAATATGACAGAGAGAGGACTGAAGAGAGGAGACAGGAATATAAGGAGATGGGACGTAGAGCAAAGAGGGAGGTAGCTAAGACAAAGCAGAAGGTGTATGATGAGTTGTATGGGAGGCTGGACACTAAAGAGGACGAGAAGGACTTGTACCAATTGGAGAGACAGAGGGATCAGGCTGGAAAGGATGTGCAGCAGGTTAGGCTTGTTAAAGATAGGAATGATAATATTCTAACAAGTGAGGAAAGTGTGATGAGAAGATGGAAGGAGAACTTTGAGGAGCTGATGAATGAAGAGAATGAAAGAGAATGAAGAGTAGAGGTCATAGAAACTGTGGACCAGGAAGTGGGTGAGGGTGAAGTCCAGAAAGCTCTGAAAAGAATGAAGAAGGGGAAGGCAGTAGGACCTGATGACCAGTGGAGGTCTGGAAATGTCTTGAAGAGATGGCAGTGAGGTTTTAACTCAAATATTCAATGACATATTTGAGGGTGAGAAAAATACCTGAGGAATGGAGAAGAAGTGCTGGTGGCCATTTTTAAGAACAAGGATGATGTACAGAGTCGTAGCAACTACAGGGGAATTAAGTTGATGATGGGGGAGGATGACTCGCTGTGACGAGCCCTGAAGAGGGAAAAGCCGAAAGAAGAAGATGTAATGCGTGCACCTGACTATCAGCTGGGCTTTAATCTTGAATTTGTCTCTAAACACGTGATAGACGGGGCCCGCAGAGTCTTCCATCTTATCTAGATCCAGGGGAGAAACCCAGACCGCCAAGAGGAACTGATAAGAAGTGGACGGAACCACCAAAGGGCCACAGTCGGAAGGACAACAATCTGAGTTCGGCTGATTCCGAGTAGAGGATCATAAAGAGCTAAAATAAACCGCTGCAGCGTCACAAAGCTCCAGGCAATCATTAACAAAACAAACAGACTTTAAAAAACGAGTTATTTAACTGTGAGCTGAGAAACTTCAGCTCATCCAGGACACAGAGCCGAGACTTCTGGATCGGTTTTAGCTTTTAAATATTTCACGTTCTTTACAAAAACCTTCCCCAAAGAACAGAACACGGAGCTCTGCTCACTCACTGAAAAACATCTGCTTCAGCTACTTAATCATGTTTGTACTGATGCTTCTTTTAGCTATTAGCTAGCCTGCTGATACCTTTAGCTTTTAGCTACCCCTTTGACACTTTAAGCTTTTAGTTAGCCTTTTGTTACCTTTAGCTTTCAGCCATTTTGAAAATCACTGTCGTAAAAAGAAAAAACAAGTTTTGTTAACGCCTCTTTCTTTTTCCTCTCAGAGCTGTCACTCAAACCAAAGCCCGCGCTGTTGTTTGTCCCGCCGAAGGCTGTGGAAAACAGCCAAAGGCTGTGAGAATCAGCCAAAGGCTATGGGAAACAGCCAAAGGCTATGAGAATCAGCCAAAGGCTATGGGAAACAGCCGAGGGCTGTGAAAACTAGCCAAAGGCTGTGAGAATCGGCCAGACTGTGAGAATCAGCCAAAGGCAGTGGGAATCAGCCAATGTCAGTGGGAAACAGCCGAAGGCAGTGGGAAACAGCCGCCGCTGTCATGAATCGCTCCTTCTCGGACAAAAGGACCATTTTTTGTTTTAGTCCGAGGCGAGGACTGTGGAGACAAACCACAGCAGAAGGCAGCGTGAGAAATGAAAAGCAGCTAAATGTTTTATTTTGACAGGAGCTGCTTGGTTCATCTCGGCTATCGGCGGCTGCTGCAGCTCCGGTGGATCGTAGCCGACCCGTGTCCACAGCGTCTCAGGTTCACCGCTCGTCTTCAGATCATTTTTAGACAAAAACAAGAAACTCACAAAGAACAGCTGAAATAATAAAAACAACCTGACGCTGCGATCACTTCAGCCTCAAAACGCACCAATGCTGGGTCGAGGCCGAAGACTTTTTGGACTTTGTTTTAGAAGTGGTCCAGACGACCAGGTGACTGACTTTTGATATATGTCTGGACTGAGAACAGCTGAAAGTTGGTGCTGAAAGCTGCTGAACGAGCTAAAGCCTACTTGAAATACACCAACAGCTGAAAAGCAGAAAAAAGCTTAAAATGGGGGGACGCTTAACAGGCCACAAAAGAGCTAAAATTAGGAAAATCATTAGCTGAAAGTAGCTAAAAAAAAAAGCTCAAAATGCTGAAATCATTAGAATGAAGCTGAAAGGAGCTGAAAAGGTTTGAAGGATGTGGAGAGTGTGGAAAAACATGGCCGACGTAGCTAAACAGGATTCAAGGAAGCTGCTGCCGATCAGCGGTCATCGGGTGAACGACGGCACGAGGAGACAAAGGAGCCGAGCTAGAGTCTCCAGTCAGACCAGGTTCGTTGTAAAAATTTAATTCGGCAAATAAAGTTGTTGGCAAGTTGCCTTAATTTGGTTTTCCAGAAACTTTTTCCTCCGTTTGAAGACTTTAGTCGAACTTCAGGTTTTAAAATATTAACATAAACTCGTGTCTGACGATTGTTAAACATGAATGTGAGCAGGAAATATGAAGTATCTATTTTGTTTAAAGTTTAACCAACAAATAAAAAGCCCAGACTTCTTACCTTGGTGGCTGTTTGACGTCATGTCCGACGGGTCGGTCCGGTGGAGGTCCAAACGGTCCAGCACCGGGCGTTTTATCCTTCCAGAACAGACGTTGTAAACCAAAGGGTGGACGTCTGGAATCGTTCGGGACGATCCGGTCCTCTGAAGGGTCCAACAGGAAGGCAGTACCGGGTGTCCGGACCACTCGGCTGCTCCGATCGCAGTGGTACGCAGAGTTCTGGTTCCAATTCAAGCTACGAAACTGGAACAAACAGGACAGTGTAAACACAAACTGACATCAGATCCAAACCGAGGGATGGAAACTGATATCAGAACTTTCCAAGTCCTGAGCGTGTTTCATCGTTCGACATGATGAATCACGTGAAGCTACAACACGATAAGATCACATGATGCTACAATACGATAAGATCACATGATGCTACAATATGATAAGATCACATGATGCTGCAACACGATAAGATCACATGATGCTACAATATGATAAGATCACATGATGCTGCAACACGATAAGATCA